GCTTCTATATTTACCTTTGAGTGTACTAATAATGGCCCAAAAGATAAACATATTTACGCTGACTCTTAATTTCTGAGTAATTAGTATATTGATAGAGTGTTAACCTATTTAGCTCAGATGCATCATAAGAAATTGCTCAATTTGATTGTTACTATCACATATCTGTTGACCATGAATTCAGTTATCACATAAAAATTATTTTCCCCCCTCTTTGGTAGCTTTCCACGGGAACCAACTAGATACATTCAGCTATATTCGATTTGCTTAAGGGAAGAAACTTGGATAGACTACCTAGGGCTACTAGTGGACCAATGCTTTAAATACATGCACTGTTTGAGGGATTAGGGGCCTCCAGAGCATAATTTACGATCACAATTGAGTTGGATTAAATATAAATGTTTAAGGTTAGAAGTTATACATTTTGCACCAAAATGTGTAGACATCCTTGTTGGCCACGTTTTGGAATGAAGCTGAAGAGATCTTGTGTAAGAGTGTACGAATTTTTTTTTTTAAGATGTGCATCCTACATTACATTCCCCTATGATGAATGCGGATTCCCCTGCGCCACATTCTGGAAGGTACAATAACTGATGCACATGGTAAAAGTATCTTTCTATGTAAACTAAGTCTGGTTAAGTTTTTTTTATTTATTTTTTTATTTTTAAGTCTGTTTAGGTTTTTCCCTTGCTTTGTCCTCTGATCAGTTTCTATTGTATAAGTTTATCATTCTTGATTGCGCTTAGAATCTAATTTTCTTCATTTTGACATCACTGAATTATAGATTTTCAGAATCCTTTTACCATGAGAATTGGGAATGCTCGTTATTTTTCTGAAGATGTGGCTCATACACCTGACATAAAAGACTCAGAGATCGAATGTGCGTTTAAGGACTTAATGGCCACAAACTGGGATGAGCTTCCTCCAGCAGTTGTCCATGATGTGAAGAAAGCACTGTCTAAAGGAACTGATGACAAATCTAGTCAGGAGGCATTGGCCAATGTGTTTTGTGCAGCAGAGGCGGTTGAGGAGTTCACTGGGATTCTTACTTCATTGAAGATGGCAATTGATGATAGCATTGGGCTAAGTGGTGAGGTGAGATGAGTTCTATGAAGTTTTGGACTGACTTATTTTTAACTTTCAGTCCACTGCCACATGCTAAAATTTTGTTCTTTATGCAGGATGTGAAGCCATTGCCAAAAGAAATGGCTGATGCACTAGAAACTGTCCACCAGCGCTATGTTGCATATTTGGGCGCATTTGGTCCAGAAGAGGGCTATCTAAAAAAGAAAGTTGAGACTGAGTTAGGTACAAAAATGATACACCTAAAGATGAGGTGCAGTGGCCTTCATTCAGAGTGGGGAAAGGTACGGTTTTCCATCCAGTGATTTCATGAGGCATTCTTCCTGTCTTAGCAGAAATCATATTCATTGGGTCTAGGCTGGTTTTGTACATGTCCTTCTTCATTTTTTATGAATTTAACATAAAACTATTCATTATAGTAACCAATCTGCTGGAAATTAGGTCTGCCTTGTGTATAATCTGTCTGATTTGTTTCAACTTTCATGATGTATGTCTTGCATTCAAAGGATTTTATGATTCTATCTCACTTTGAAGAGTTCGTGCTCGTGTTATAACTGAATATGTTTTGTCGACATTCTTCTATGAAACTTATTGTTCCAGAAATTAGTATTAGAAATGATTTTCTCAACTGCATTGTTTGGTAGTGGCAGTAAATGGACGTGACTTGAAATTAATTATCTCTCTTGCTTTATAAATAAACAGTGACTTGTGAACAAATGATACGTATGCCTGATGTGGATGAAACATTGACTTGGCTGCTTGCATTCTTGACTGCAGGTCACAGTTCTTGGGACTTCTGGACTTGCTGGTTCTTATGTTGAACAAAGATCTTAAGTTTGAAATAAGGATTATGGAGCCTGGTCTTTCGATGTTTTCTTCCCTTGAAGAACAATATGGAGGGCCTATTGTTGTTTTTAAGTCCTGATGCTGTTGGCTTTATATATGTTTCGACTTCTGTTAGCAAGTTTGACTACAAATTTTGGAAGTTATTAATAATGTCTAGCAATGCTTGTAGAGAAAACTGGTGCATCCGCACGCCTAATCAATGTCTCTATCCATCATTTCAGAATCTAATCTTTGTTCTTTCAGCTAAACTGTTCGCAATTTTCTCTTGCTGCACTTTAGTTTATGTGATGCAAAATTCTAGTATTTAATTTCTTGTGTATGTTTGACAGAAATTCATGTAAATGTGTTTCTTTCTAAGACCTATTTTTCCCCTCCACGGTTTATTTTCTTTGTCACCCACAAGAAATTCTGCAATCTAGGACATGTTCTCGAGCCAATAGCAATGATCTGGCTCCAAAACTTCTTCTGGACTTAGTGGGTGAAATAAAAGTGGTACTCTACCGCGATTATTCAAATTAATTCTCCCCAAGTAACTGTCATTGGCAAATTCTGAAGCCTTTTTTTTTGGCTCAAATTCTGAAGCTTAATGCTTCTGTTTACAGTCTTTGTGGCTCATTATTGAAATTTTTGTTTTATGTGGACAATTACATATTCATAATCCTGCTGTAGTTATGTTGCTAGTATAATTACAATAGCCTCCACCTGTCGGTCTTTTGGTTTCATGCTGTTGATTATGTGGATTGTCAGTTTTCCCCTCTTTTGATTTTGCAGGATTTTAATGGCGGGCAATTGCAGTTGAAGTTCATGTTATGAAACTGACGTTGCAGGAAAGATGGCTGGTTCCTTTTTCTTAATATTAAAAGCTGCTGTGGTGCTTGGAAAGTTAAAATTGGATCTCAAAAGTCAAAACGAAATCCATTTCCCATAAAGGACAACTAGACCTTCTTCTTTTATTCTCTGTTTACAGTTGCCTTTTTTTGTTTATTTGGTGTCGTGAAGTTCGAACTCGGAAACTTTTCTTCTCCTTCAAATGTGAATTACTTCTGAAAAAAATATCAGCACAGGACAGGAAATACAGGATGGGTCTTGAAACAAAGTTAAATTTGTTACAGTATTTTGATGACTCCAGTAGATTTACGCCATAACCAAGAATCTGAAGGGGATTTAGGTAGAGGAGGCAGCAGCAAGGCCTTTCTGCAGAGGCCGAATGGCCACCCCTGGCAATGACTCAGCTCCTGAATAATTGAGTGGCGTCTCCAGAAATCCTGGAAATCAATCCTGCCCAGGCTGGAGCTGCGGGTAAATGCAGTTTTAGCAGATGCAAATGCCCCCATGCTGGAAACAGTTGAACAGCGAGAGAGACGACTATGGGGCGAGAAGTAGTCATCCATTGGTTCATCATCATTGCCCTTTTGATGCATTGGCTTAGGAGTAACAAAGAGTTCTCTGGTTTCTGGAGATAAAGCCCAGCTGAAATTATCCACTGTAAGCCCGGAATTGCGGCTGTTTTTGGACTCCATGTATGTACTTATGATGGCTGAGACAAATATCTGCAAGCAACAAACCCATAAACGTGTTTTTAGGTGCTCTTTTAGGTGAAAAAGAGGAGTAAAAGGAGGTGGTTTTTTTTATCGCTGAATCGAACTCCCCCCACTCAGCACTGAATCTGAGTGCTTCATTCTTAATGAAACAGAAAATACAAAAACATTTGACATCAATTAGTACAGTACTTCTTCATCATCATAGTCACCGTAAGGAAGATGATCATCTTCTGGGGTCGGGGAAGAAAGCCTTCCGCGAAAAGTATGGCAGTCAGAAAATGCATCCCTCAGAGTTGAAGTGCGAAATTTGCATCTTTTTGAGGGATCTGATGACTCTTCATGGTGGGTGCGGCAGTTGGAAAATGCATCCTTGAGGGTGGCAGAAAGACATTTGCATCTCTTGGTTGTATTTGGTGGTTCTTCTTGACGAGGAATACTCATATCGCAAGTAATGATGATTTGTTGAGTTGGATGGAAGTTGCAGGTGAAAAACAGGATACAGAACTAAATAAGCGCTCGTATTTGCACGTCTCATTTGATGTTCGCATTGAAATACTCGGGTGACTGACAGTGGCCTTCCAACCCATCTCTATCTTATCTCTATCTAAACTTTTTTATCTTTGGTGTAAAGATAAAGTTAAAAGCAGAGAAGAAAGTTCAACTAATTAAATTCTGAAACCCATAATTATACATGGATTCCTGAATTCCTTCTGACCCAAAACAAAAGTCTGCGGACCTTTGGATCCTGCAAGCTTTGTGTAGCTAGTTTTAGTTTTGCGACTATTTTCAGTTTTACTTCATCCTAAAGTAAAACTAGTTAGTATAAAGCACAAACTTGATACCAAACAATGACTACTAACTGAAAATTGTTGTTAAAAGTGATGCTTTGTCCATGATAGTATTATTACTCGAAAAGAATATAGCAATTTGGTATCATATGTAGTTTGAGAAAGTGATGTTAGCAACTTTACTGAATTCAACACAAGGAGAAAGGGTCCTGAGAGCAATAATTGTGAGCACCTTTTGCCTTTTTCTTTTTAAACACATGCTTTCACATATTGAAGTTCCCATAACAACTTTTTGCAAGGCACGACTTTAGATCATCTGCAATGGTCCCAATAATAGCATGCGTCGCATTTACTAAATGCTACCTGAACTTCAGCAATCTAATGCTGGAACTACACATCAATTTGATCTCTTTAGTCACTCTAGTTTTTCCTGCAATGAACGTACTGAGTTTCCTCCCTGGAGCTTTGAATCAATACTAAAGATCAATGTAAAGAAACCCTTTACAAATAATGAACTCAACATGGAAGCACAGGAATCCCAAGTCTGAGCTGATGATATACAGACGGTAAATTGTCTTAGCGTTTTTTAGATTTGTGCGAAGTTTTAGCTCCCGTATGAACCTGGCAAAATATGTTATCTCCAGACATTCAATTTGTGAGCTTATTCAGAGCATTATTCATTTCTCCCTTGTAAGTGGGAATACTATCAACAGGCTGAGATGTGCAGGCTATTAGTAGCCAGTCATTAGAAAATTGAATCTCAAACAGAGAACTAAAACCACCTGATAAACAATCGTGTCTTATCCATGGGCATCGAGCGTTACATTCATACTTGTACATCATCCAACTCAAAAGTTTTTGTACACAACTTTAAAGACCAGATAGAACATCAACTTACAGCAGAAGTGGTATAGCAGCAACTAGTTTCGAGAACGTCATTTTACAATTTTCAGATCCTACCAAAACTAGTTTCCCTCTGCCATGCAACTATTGAAGTATGATCTTCTATCTCACATATGCCTTCAAGAAATCATCTCAAAGCGAGCTATAATGCACAGAAACATAATATTCAGCCGCGCCAACAACAAAAGTGGGCCAGAGCTTGAAGATGCAAATATTCATTGACCAAGGCATTGGAAGCTCAACACCCATGTCACAGCTGATGATGCTACCACCAGTGTTTTGAGATGTTCAAAACCTTCTGATATTTGTCTCTTTCATCAGCACCCAGAGCTATTTTCTGAGCACAGACATGAGAAAAATTAGTTCACGAGAGAGAGGAGAAAGATATATTGTATGCAGAATATTATGCATGAGCTGACACTCCTCTGTCACGGGGACAAAGTCTCTTCCTTGGATTAAGAAGATTAACGCTTGTCATTTGTGTGGCTCATCACGATCAGTTTTTGAAAATTCAGCAAAAGGAGTGATAGTATGATGTATACTTGGATTTCATAACCAGCGACTTTACTTTTGGGGTATTGACTCTGTCATGAGACCTAAAGCTTTCCCTTTCACATCTAACCCTGCTCAAGAGCAAACATGTATGAGATTTCCTATTCATTTCTTGTTAGGTAATAGATAAAGTTTTTATTTTTAATTGAAAAAAAGGCCGCCAAGAGCATCAACAGGAATACAAGATTACAAGATGTAGTCTTTTAGATGAAAGAGAATACTAAAAGTAGTTGTCTGGCTTAGATGAAAGAGAAAAATCACATGCGCCTTCATTTTTATATCTTTGTTCTTCCTTGAAACTATTTATCTTCTCCTCAAAAGTCTAGAAGTCGAGTTTAGGACTTAGGAACCTCCCATACCAAAAAGCTTCTCGCTGAACCCCCAAAAACTCTCTATAAGGTTATATTTCTACCTTTGATTGGTGCTGATCTGATCCTAGAAAGTTTAGACTATATATTGCTACAGCGGGCCAGTAGACAAATTAGTTATACGATCCAAAATTCATCACGGTAACTTAAAAAAAGAGGGATACTCTAATTAGAAGCCGTGACATGAAATACTCATCCAAAGAAAAAGCCACACGATAACGAAGATTATGAGCGAAAGAGGAAAGGAACAAAATGATACCAAAATCAAGTATCTTACACATAGAAGAATCAGTTGGAGGAGTTTCGAAGCTGTTGAGATGTGACAGAAATAAGAGACTGAAGCTTAGCAACAGCAGAAGTCTTATCAGGCGGGCACTTAGCAAGAGCAATATTTAGGAACTGAATGGCCTCATCAAGCTTGCCAGCAGCCATGGCTGCCATCCCTGCTTTATAAGCTTCATCTGCCTTTTTAGCATCGTATTTAGAACTTAATTTTCCGTCGTCACTTTTACCAACAATAGAAGATAAGAAAGCAGTAGCTCGGGCATACTCCAGTGCAGAAATGGCAGAATCGATCTCAGCAATTACTGCATCAGCTGATGCTGGAATTGTCTTCACCCCATCAAACACAGACCAGTGAGGCTCTTCTTCTCCATAACCCATCTCTTTACTTTCCCCACTGAATTACCCACCGCTGTCCCGAAACCAATTGGCAGCATAAAAATAAAGAATTGCATCACTTGCAATTTCATTACTTTCTTTTCTTTTCTTTTCTTTGGGGAGCAACCCATTTAAAAGACTAAATAAATAGACAATTTGTCCCTCTGAATAACTCCAATTACTGTTCTAAATTAATTTTTATCTCTACTATTGCGCACAAATTTTATAACAGTAGGAAGTTTCTTGAGAAAAGTAACAAACTTGAAATATTTTTCCATAGCTTGGGTATGACTATACTGTATTAGCGTACCTTGTGCAAAGCTGATGCCACCGGCAGCTTGCTGTCCGCCGGAGCTGGTTAGTGGTGACAGAGTCGTCGAGGCTGAAGTTCGTTTTTGTGCTCCAAAGACTTGCGACGACGTTTGAACAGTTAGTTGAATGTTGATGGTGACTGAGTCAACTATTGCAGCAAAATTGCCCTTATGGTTACGAGGTTAGGACCACATTTCTTTTCATAGTAGTTCCAAGTTTGCAAGGGGAATTTTAGTTGAGTATCGTCCATCATATCCGTTCTGGGAAATTCTTGCATCTTACGATGTAAACAAATGACGTTGTCCTGTATGTATTTGAGAGACACCTCTTGCCAAATGCCAAGCCTCTTCTGTCAAAATCCCTTTTCTTATTCACAACTCATACGCAAATCATTGGTTCGGAAAACCTTTAGTCCTTAGTGGGCTTCATTATATTTTTTTCAGCCACTTTGACGTTCACCGAGCAACGATGAAGCACATAGAATTGCGTAACAGAAAGGCAGTATCAGTCAACAAAGTTTAGGATAGCCATGGATTGTCTGTCTGACATGTTGGCTAACTCCCAGTGGCAAAATGGTTTGAAATAGTATATTAAAAGATCCCCAAGAGGGAAATCTCGTTCGACCACCTTATTCGATCTCAGACGCTTGTAAGAAAGCTTGATTCATGTCAAAGTAGCAAGCAAATGGAGAAAAACTCCAATAGAATTGCAAAGAAACCTTTCAAAGTGACCTACTTTCAATCAGAAGGCAAAACTGCATTCCTTAGTGAAAGGAATAACATAACGAAATTCACTACTCATGAATGACCATCAATGTGAAGCTTAACATCTGAATTGATCAACAAACGGATTTTAAGAGAGCAAGATCCACAGGGAAGAATAATAGATGCTTGCGAAGATTTTGTTGTGTGTAAAGTGATTGTATTCCCGTTTCTTGACAATGGATAGCCAATCTCTGTCAACTCTGAAGAATCAATTACAAAGTAATCACCACACCTGCAACTATAAGAAAGCTCTAAACTATCATCAGCTTCTTCAACTGTAAGATCCTCCAAGCTAACATCTTCAGAAGTCACTGCATCCTGCCTCAAAGTATGCAGTTCACTGTCATAAATGGCACGAGACCTTGGGTTGCTGAGGGTTTCCCAAGCTCGCTGTAACTCCATGAATCTGTCACCAGACTTGTGCTCAGGATTCAGTTTTTCACGTTCCTTTAGCAGTTTATCAGGATGAGAACTAAGGATGGAAGAGCGATAGCTTGACCGGATCTGTTCATAGGTTGCATCTTCTTTCAAACCAAGGATTTCGTAGTAGGTTCGCTCGATCAAGTTCCCACTGATGATCATGTTTGACTTAATGCTACTAGAATAGAAATTCACTGCAAAGTAAATCAAATTGAATCACAAAATAAGTTTTTAGTAAACGACATGTGACAGGAGGTCAAGAAAGAAAAATTTCTAATGGGAAATGGAAGCATTTTTGTGAGATGTCATGTTATTATTTCATGATGAAAGCAACAAAGATCGCAATATGGCCACCCTCTCCACTAACCAAATTCCAAAATAATAACTGCATCCAAATTACAGTAAGTTCTCCTTGACTAATCACCAAAAGCAACCATTCTACTTAATGAAAAACTGTCCTTTCAACCTAATATGGTGAGAGCCCAATAAAGCATCAGGCAAGTGGTTGCTGAAGAACTTGTAAAATCTAAGATTGGAGGACTGAAAGTACAGTGCACTGGACACCATCATATCCCACTTCCAGCAATCTATTAGGAGCAGCCAATAGCATTAAGAACCAGAGATCAGTTTGAGAGTTAGCTATAAAGATAAGCACTTTCGTGTTTGTAGCTTCAAGTTTGAAGACGCTCAACATGTGCTACATGCACATTCTATTAGGCATGTAACAGTTTCTCCCCAAAAGGCAGACAGGGTAGTAAACACAGTAAACATCCTTATTTATCTCGCGGGAATTTCGCCATTTTCGTCTCTAAACTTTTACACTAAAACCAATTTCATCCTTTATGATTTTTTTAGCCAATTTAGTCCTCCAACTATTTTGAAGTCTCCTTCAAATTTTGCTTCAATTTTCCTTACCTCGCTTCTAAAGGTAAATTCCCAATTGAGCTGTAACAATTTTACAATATCTTTCTTCCACTAGTCCCAAAAGTTAGCTGCTTTGGTTGCAAAGTATCCATCTTGCCAAGAATTGTCTTCAAGTACACACCAAAGCCTACTGTTTTAGGGGTGAAGGAAGGGAAAGGGGCAAAAGCAAAACTAGAAGAAAGATGCAAATTTGTAAACAAGTAGCTGGGCAATGGTTCAGATAATTAACAGAATTTACGTTCTCGACTTCAAAAAAAAAGCGGAACCCACAAATCCTATCAAGTAAACCACGTACAAAATCCACAAGAAATCAACCCAAAAAAACCCGAAGAACAAATTGCATGAATGATACAGATATGCAAGAAAGAATTGAAAACATGAAGAAATTACCCGGATTTCAAGATGTACAAGCCGAAGGAAGGTGTCTAGATTTCCACGCTTCCGGATTAGGGAAGGGATGGGATTATAATCAACGTTAGTTAGAGAGAAAACGGAGGTCCAGGGCAGGAGGCGGCTCTTGCGCTTTTCGGAGGGGGCACACGCACCGAAAGGGGTAATACAAAAACGTGGTCGTCACCAAACGACGGCGGCTGTTCATCCAATTGCGAGTTTTGGGTTATTTTGTTAAAGTCGGACTCGGGGGTTGGAACATATAGTGCGCATGTGTCAGGAGCAGGGGCGTAATTGCAATTGGAACAAAGTTTTAGGGGTGTTAGTGTAATTAGGTGTTGGAGCCAAAAAGCTGTTAAACGTTAGTTACAACTGAATTCGTTAGCATCAGATCAGTGCACGGAAATTCTGTGTCAATTGGATTAGGATCCATTAGTGGAACTGTATAAATCCGGAACAATGTAATGGATTGAACAACAAGTAATACAATCAGAATTCTTTCCTCCAAATTCTCATTCTTCTCTCTCTCACTCTCTCCAACTCCTTCCCTCCCTTTCTGTTCTTTCACTCATTCAAACTTCTCCCAAATCCTCTGGTTACATTTTCTCCTTAATTTTACATTGAAGAGCCTGACAAATTGGTATCAGAGCTGACGAATCCTCGGCAGCTCGGAGATCAATCAATGGCAGAAAGTACACGCTTCAAAACCTTGGAAGAACATCTCCGTAAACAGGAGCTCAAACTGCAGGAAGTCGTGGAAGATATGAAGAACATACAGCTACAAGTGAAGGAAGAAATGGCTGGCAGGGACAAGAGAATGGATACGATCGCGCTAGGCATGGACCAGAAGTTTGAGGCACTCACTGCTATGATGAAGACGCTACTGAGCAGAGAGAAGAGTGCAGAAGAAGAAGTCAAAACTGGCAGAGATCGTACGCCATTACTTCCCACTCCTCTTATATACCAGAAGCTGAACTTGGGAGCAGATGAGGAAGTTAAGAGTTGCGAGCTCTTGGGTAAGATTCCTGGCTATAATCCTCCAAAAATTGAGTTACAAATGTTTAGTGGGGAAAATCCTAGGGAATGGATCAGAAAATGTAATAAGTATTTCCTGTTGAATAAAGTACCCGAGGAGCATAAATTGCTGGTAGTAGAGATGTTTTTAGAAGGAAGAGCTGATAATTGGTTCCAGGGGATCAAATTAGAAAAACCAAGGCTAACTTGGGGGGAATTTGGGGAGCTGCTTTGCCAGAGATTCAAAGGATCATGTTGTAGAGATATTGTAGAGGAATTCAATAAACTGTAACAGATGAGCACAGTGGAGGCTTATCAGGAAAAGTTTGAGGAGTTTAAAACATTAATGCTATTGCAGAACCCGAGCCTTAGTGAAGAATACTTCATTTCCAGCTTCACCAGTGGTCTCAAGGAGGAGATTAAACCTATGATGAGAATGCTCAAGCCAAATACTCTCTCTGGAGTTATGGAGGTAGCTCATTTGCAGGAACAAGCTCTCAGGTTACAAGGAAGGACAATCAAGGAGGGCAACAAGGTGTTGGCTGAACCAAAGTTTGGAATGTACAGACATCCAACTCCTGCCAATGGAGGAGTCAGCACTTACAAGCTACCACAGAACAACATACCTAGGGGAGATCCCAGAAATCCAGATAAGAGTCCAGAATTTAAGAGACTATCCCCTCAGGAACTGCAGTTCAGAAGGAGTAATGGACTGTGCTTTAAGTGTGGGGAGAAATTTGGGGTAGGACATCAGTGCAGAATGAAACACTTGAACCTTATGATGTACGAAGAAGAGGAGGATACTGAATTCCAGGATGCTCAAGGGGAGCAAGACGAGCTGACTGGGAATCCAGGAGAACCAATTGAAATTTCACTCAATGCTCTGTCAGACTCACTCAGGCGAAATACTATCATGTTGCAAGGACGAATGGCAGGGGAACGTGTAAAAATTTTGGTGGATACAGGTAGCAGTGACAGCTACATTCACCATAGGCTGGTGACTACACAAGGCATTCCCTTTGAATATGTCAAGCCTTTCACTGTCACAATGGGGGATGGGAGCTTGGTAACCAGTGGAGCTCAGTGTCCAAAGGTCCTGTGGAATGTTCAGAATAATAAATTCTGCTTTAACCTCAGGATTATGGAACTAGGAGATTGGGACATTATTTTGGGGGTAGACCGGATGCACAACTACAGCCCCATAACTTTTGATTTCCATCAACTAAAAATCTCCATGTTCCATCAAGGAGAGGTGGTCACATTGCATGGAGCAGTTAATGATGCAACCATGGAACTTATCAGGAGGAAGGATCTCAGAGGTTTTTTGCAAGAGAAAAGGAGATGTTGTGCCATTTCAGCACAACATGGAAAACAGGACACAGGGCAGCCAGGGATTCCAGAATCAATCACTGCAATCCTGCAGCAATTTTCAGAAATCTTTCAGGAGCCTACTCAGTTGCCTCCCAACAGGCCATTGGATCATCAGATTCCCCTTAAGCCAGGAGCACAAGCCTTCAAAATGAAACCATACAGATACCCTCATTCACAGAAGACAGAGATTGAAAAGCAAATAGCAGACATGCTGAAGTCTGGAATCATCAAGCCAAGCAATAGTCCTTATGCTTCACCTGTGTTGTTGGTCAAGAAAAATGATAACACTTGGCGTTTTTGTGTGGATTACAGGCATCTCAATGACTTGACAATCAAGGACAGATATCCTATTCCCAACATTGATGAGCTACTAGACGAGCTCTATGGAGCCAAGTTCTTTTCCAAGATTGACCTCAGATCAGGTTACCACCAGATCAGAGTCAAGTTGGCAGATACACACAAAACAGCCTTTCAGACTCATCAAGGACACTATGAGTTCCTAGTGATGCCATTTGGACTCACAAATGCACCAGCAACATTCCAAGCATTGATGAATCAGGTTTTTGAACCATTCATAAGGAAGCATGTTTTGGTCTTCTTTGATGACATTTTGGTCTACAGTGCTACCTTGGACCTTCATAAGGAACACCTAAAACAAGTGCTGGAGGTGCTTCAGCATCACCAGTTGTATGCCAAACTATCCAAGTGCTCTTTTG